AACGAGCACTTGAACACAGAGTCTTCCCAAATCAGCTTACTATACCCACAATCAAAAAGAGAAAAAGGGTAAAAGTGCTGAGAATCGGCCGCATAAGTAACAGCCCCCACACCCGACCCCAAAAGGAACCACACTACGTCTGAAAAACAATACCTTCAGTCTAAGAAGATATGCAGGCCCTCGCAGGGAGGTCATATCCGGGCGAAGCAAAACACACGAACATTCTGTCATGAACTGCTCAATATCAGGAAGTCCAAACAGCAATCAAGCCTAGAATTCTACCAAAGCATCCTTGTTGCTGGTCCTAACTGCCGCTCCCAACTCTCAAGTGCAAGCATGCACTGGCACTCGTCTTCGGCGTGGTCGGGCTGGCCATGGCCGCTCTTGTCTCTCTCTCTCTCTCTCTCTCTCTCTCTCTCTCTCTCTCTCTCTCTCTCTCTCTCTCTCTCTCTCTCTCTCTCTCTCTCTCTCTCTATTGTTTTGCCGTCGCCCAGTTCGTCGTATGGACGGGCCTCCCGCTGCAACGCGCTGGCAGAAATTGAGTCGTAGAGGTGTGTTTTGAACTGTAATAGATGATAAGTCGCTCGCTGGCATCGCGCTATCGCAGCTCTAGGTTTACAGATGTTGCCTTGCAGGCGTGCTTTGAACAATTGGGCGCGCTACCCTCGCCTCACCAGGGCTAAACTTCTGCGACGGCGTTACGACGCTGTCGGGGGCATGTAATTGACAGCAAAGCCGCCATCGCTAGCTTTTTTATGTTCGTCTATGCTATCCGTTTCAGAGACGATTGGTCATATTCACTTTTCTCGTCTTTTCTTTAGTTGCAAGATGCCTGGGACTACCTGCGTCTAACGTGAATAGTCCTTGGCAGCACCTCAGCCTCCAGCGGCAGTGACCCCCGCCCTGTTTGGAATGCAATCTAATGGGAATTGTGGGCTCCGGCCCAGAAATTCGCGAAATACAAACATCGGAGATGCCAGATCGACTCTCGGCAGGAGGGTCTGCGGAATCGGGGTGCAAGCTTAACCTGAAGTTTAATCTCCACCAGGGATCTTTGCTGACGCTTGTGTGGGTCGGCATTCTCAGAATGCAGACTTCAGGTATGTGGAACACCTGTGTCTGAGAGACGTCGTTGTTCTGACCGTGTGCGGTCTGGTTCACAGCTATTTTGGCTCTATCGCCGTTGGGATGCTTCCGACGTCCTTCGATGTCATTTTGGACACAGGCTCTGCGTAAGGGTTGGAATCCTTTTGCACCCCTGTTGTTTACGGATGAACACTGCCCGCCACCTTGGTTCGTCGTGATTGCAGAGACCTGTGGCTGGCGTCCGACGATGCGCGAGCCTGCCTGCCCGATCCATCTCGTGCGTTTACTTCTCTAGCTGCATGCACCGCATTCTCACTTATCGCTCTCCCTCCATGTGGCTAACCCGCACCTTTTGCCCTAACTCTCAACGCCAATTGTTTCGTCGGTCGCTTCGCAACTTCCTTTGGGCGCCTGTCATTTCCTCAGGGGCGCGTTGCCACCGCCGGCGGGTCGTCTATTCACTGCACCGCCTCCATATAACGCATCGTTTTTGTCTATCTATTAAACGTTCTCCGCCGGTGACCCGGCATTTGCATCCTCCGCGGCGTCCTTGTCTTACCTTGATGCGGTACTGTACCGCTGCCTGCGCGGCTACTCCGTCCAGGCCTTCGGACACTTAACACCGGGACAACGCGCACACGCGGGCAGGGTCCCCATCATACACTCATAGATACGTCATTCGGCATCAAGTGCCGCAGCGCCGCGCAGCGAGGATATCGTCTAGTTCGCGGGCTTCGAGGTGGCGGAGCAAGTCTTTGGTGTGCTTCCGCGGCGCCACCTTCCTGCCGCACCTGCTGACGCGCGCACATACACGCTCCTCAACCACGCCCATCTCGGGCTTGCTCGGTCTCGCGTTCGTGGGCATCGCGCAACGCCGCGCAGGGCTCAGGCACGCTCGACGCGCCGGTGGTGGCGCCGTTCCAGCTGACGTGCTTCGTGAACAACAGCGGACCCCACGCAGCCGAGCCCGGCGGGGCGTTCAGCCCCTGCGCGGCCAGTGGGAGCACTGCACAGGCAAGATTGACAGCCCAGGAGTACAGGGGGTTCTGGACGCTCGAGATGGTTGGTGCGCGGGCCTCGACGGCGGTGGCTGACGTTGAGCGTGCAGGGTAGAAGTACAGGGCGCCTCACTGAACCTGTCCTCGCATTCAGTCGGTCAGTGGGCCGTCTGCCGTCATCCAGCAGCTCTATGCTGTGATCCCAGGCAGCGCGGCGGGGACGGGAAACTGTACAGGCCACTTGGCATTCTGCACGCCATCTCTCGCCTCTGCAGACATCACACTGGGCTGATTTTTGCCTGGTGCGTATCTCGATGCGCTCCGGTGTGAGCAACATCTCGTGGCCGTCTCCCCGGCCGACTTTCGGCTGTTCCAGCTCGACGACGATGTGTGCGCTGGGGCGTTCTTCAGGCTGAGCAGCTCGAAGAACACGACGGCATCGTCCGGTCCACCGAGTAATATAGTCGACGATATGTTTCTGGTGCGTTTTAAACCTGTCGCACCGCGCATGTTCGCCGATTTTCTGCCAGAAAAAGGCGTATTTGGTGACCCACGCGTCCCTGCCATCGTCAGGGCTCGCGCAGCTGTCGGAAGTCGCACTGGCCATGAGTGACAAGGACGGCACGCCGCCGGCGCCGGCGCTAGGCTTATCTGAGGCGACCGCTACTGGGATCGCGAGCAGCGTGGACGTGCTCCAATCGTTGTGGGTGCCCCTACTAATGGCGATGACGGCGGCAGCGAAGATATTGGGATGGCTGGAATGAAATTAACGGGGGTTTCATAAGTTATGTCTTGATTTCTTGGTGAAAATGGCAGAAGGGTGATTTTCCCGTACCTGCATTCTGACGATCCAGCACATAAACAAGTCTTTCTCATTCGTAAACATCAACATTCTGTGAGATATTCTGCCATGTACAAAGCCATGCAGATTGTATTGTATTATGGCATAATATGGCCGATTACTTGCCGGCAACTGACTTCGCACGCACGGTGTCTTCCACACTTCAATTCCTCCAAAAGCCGTGGATAACTAGTCTAAGATGTAGCTTTAAAGCTGCCGTGACCCTTTGTTGGGCTCTCCTGAGCCTTACGGAGATACTAGAAACGCGTGACGTCACGCGAAACACTGCAGTTTGCTCACCATTCTCACCTAACACCCTTTGAACAACTCCCATAGACCATGGTGGGCCAATGGGCAGGATCCCGAGATCTGGAGACCGACAATTGGACGGATCTTGCGAAACTCCTCCCTTTATGCTGATACGAGGCCGGACCATACTGTCTCATAGCTGCGTTGCAATCGAGTAGGTGATATGCGGGGTGCCGTAGCCAGACCGATGATCTGGTCCAGAGCTACCAAGTCCAGTGCACGGTCACGTTCGCCAGGTCAGTTGACGCAGCAACGAGCATGGGTCGCAGACTCGCAGCGATATCTCCTGTGCGTTGTCGATCGTCATCCCAGAATCTGCTCTGGACAAGTCAGTCTCAGATCGCCTTCCCCGCGGGGTCGCGTTCGGGGTACACGACAGGGGCCACGAGGAGACATATTTCCAGGATGATCGTTGAGCCGTACATCCACACGGAAGTGTAAAATGAAAAGGAGTGCGGGGGAAGGTCAAGGCTTCCCCTCTCCAGGCGGTTCTTCACACAGCGAGGCGGGTTCTTTGATCACCGACTCTTCCTGAAGCCCTCTTCGCTTCTCTTTCGCGCACGAAAGACTTTTGAAGCCTATAAAACGTCGCCGACGCCCCCTGAGGAAGAGATATTGCGCGCACTGGGATGCCCTGATCGCGGTCTCGAGCGAGTTTCATGGCCGGGCGCGTAATGCCAGACGCAGCAAAACGGAAGGAGCCCGGAAGCGCAGGGCGCGCGGGCCGGAGAGGCCTCTTTCCCCTCATCACATAGGAGGCATATGATAGCGGAATGCCATCGCGTACGAGCCCGGTCACAAGGCCCTGGACGTACCCCTGTCTGACATAGTGCCTCACAATAAAAAGCGGGCACTCCACGACCATAGCGATCCAATTTTCTTCTCCTACGTTTCTCGAGAAGACATCCACCAAGGACAACATGGCGTCCCACCTCAGACATGGCGAGTTTGTCGGTTCTCTCGACTGCGGCACTACGTGCGTTCCCCTCTTCTGCGCACGGCTGCGGAGGCTGATACTCGCACAGGTCGACGCGGTTCATGATCTTCGACAGCTATGCCAACGTTGTCGCCTCGCACCAAATGGAGTTCAAGCAGTACTACCCGCGGAGTTCATGGCACGAACACGATGCGGACCAGATAATGGAGAGCTGCGACGCCTGCATCGAAAAGGCCTGCGCCGAGCTCGAGGAACAGGGCTGGACAAAAGAGAGCGTCAAGGTCATCGGTGCGTTCTCATCAGTCGTCATTCTTTCCCCCGTTCTCACCTCTATCAACCCTATCATCAGGCATTACGAATCAGCGTGAGACGACTGTTCTGTGGAGCCGCAAGACAGGCAAGCCCGTCAGCCACGCCATCGTCTGGGACGACACTCGCGTCATGGGCCTCGTCACCAAGTACGAGAACCATGCCAGGGAGCGAGGCGTCCCGTACGAGGGCAAGGTCCACAAGGGCGAGGATGCTCTCAAGGCCCTCCGCAAGCTGTGCGCATCTTTGCGTCTCTTTGCGCGAGTCGCGTGACTGATGCCTTCCTCCACAGCACCGGCCTGCCCCTCTCGACCTACTTCTCCGCGCTCAAGATCCGCTGGATGATCGACGCCTGGGCAGACCCCGACGAAGAGAAGGTGGCTTCCAAGTGGGCGAACGTCAAGAAGGCCTACGACGCGGACGATCTCTGCTTCGGGACCGTCGAATCCTGGATTGTCTACCGCCTCACCGGCGGCGCACAGGGCGGCGTGCACGTCAGCGACGTCACAAACGCGTCGCGCACGCTCCTTCTCAACTTGCGCTCGCTCAAGTGGGACCCCGTGCTGCTCGAGTTCTTCGACCTCAAGGAGAACATCCTCCCGAGGCTCGTATCCTCGTCCGAGGTGTACGGCAAGATCAAATACGGCGCGCTCAAGGGTGTCGAGATCGCTGGTCTTGCGGGCGACCAGCAGGCCGCGCTTGTCGGCAACAAGTGTCTCCGCCAGGGCGAGGCTAAGTGCACGTATGGCACCGGCGCGTTCCTCCTTTTCTGTACGGGCGAGGAAATCGTCGAGAGCAACGCCGGCCTTCTGAGCACCGTCGCGTACCAGAACGGCCCCAACAGCAAGCCGGTGTACTGTCTCGAGGGATCTAGTGCGTCCGATTCCTATTATCTCTTACGTGTCAACCGCTGACTTCTGTGCCCAGTTGGTGTTGCCGGCAGCGGCATCCATTGGCTCCGTGACTCGATGCATTTGGTCCCGACCGCCCCGCACGTCAATATCCTTGCCGCTGAGGTAGCTGATACCGGAGGAGTTTACTTCGTGACCGCCATGGGCGGTCTGTTCGCGCCCTACTGGGACTCATCCGCGACTGGTATGATCATCGGTGAGTCGACTGACGCTCTGTGCTCGTGATCCCTGGCTCATCGGCACAGGCATATCGACGGCCACGAAGCCGGCGCACGTGGTACGCGCGATGCTCGAGGCGAACGCGTTCATGACGCGCGCCGTCGCGGAGAGCATGAAGGTCGACTCGGGCGTGGACCTGCCGCAGATGAAGGTCGACGGCGGGATGACGAACGGGGACATGGTCATGCAGGTCGTCGCGGACCTCGCCGGGTGCGAGATCGTGCGGCCCGAGATGCGCGAGAGCACTGCGCTCGGAAGCGCACTCCTCGCGGGCAGCGCCGTGCGTCTTTTTGGCTGGGACATTGCGCGCCCCGAGACGCTGCACGAGGTCAACACGGCCGGCAGCGCGATCTTCAAGCCGCAGACGACGAAAGAGTATCGCGACAAGAAGTGGGCCGGCTGGCAGCGCGCGGTCGAGAGGTCTCGTGGCTGGGTGCGCGAAGATGACGAGTGAGTGCGCGGTGTGATCGTTCTGAAAATCGCATAGGACTTGCTGTACTTTATCCGAAGAACTACTTTAAGAAATTTGTACAAGGCTGGTGGATGTCGTGCCTGCCACGCCCTATTCATGAATAGGGATCCCCCGTAGCGATGATAGTCGTTGCCATACGTTTTGTAGCTGAGGTGGCATACCACCATATCCTCGTTCTCTACTTTTGCTTTGACTTGAAGTCACCGGCCGATCACCGAATCAGTGTCGCTATCTGGTTCAAGCGCCTATGATAATCTCGCCCTGTGCCAACGTTAATCTTCGCATGGTGAGTGTAGCTCTCGTTGTATGCGGTGCATGTATATCATGCGTTTTGTGCTTGACTTACGCGTTTTAAAGAAATTTAGAGACTGGTACCAGGCAGGCGGTTGACTCTCGTGTAGTGATGTGCGAGCCCGGCGGCTTGGGCTCAAAGTCCGGGCATGCCTACCACACCGTAGACATTCAAATGTCACGAAAAGTGAGTTTAATTGTGTGTGCTGGGTTACCATTGCATGTGCTCACCAAAGTACAGTCTCCAGAGTGCATACAGCCGCTCAACGAGTCAGGTGGTTCACGAGCGGGCGCCTACAGCGGATGCCAGGTCGCAACGCACAACCATGCTCGGCAGAGACTGTCCAGTCCCAAACGCCATTACTCTCCTTGTACGTGTATATTATGTTGCTACCGTCTTGTTCTGAATACAGGGAGCAGCACTGGAGCTGGTGATGGGCTTCCGGGCCGGGCTTAGGCTTGATCTCGCCCCGAGCCCGGCCTTGAGCCCGTTGCCAGGCTTGGCTAGGGCCAGGCTTTTTGGGCCAGGCTTAGCGGGCTCGCGGGCTTTGAGGCCTGGCCCGAACATCACTACCCCTGCCGGTCAGCCAATGTAAAGCGTACCTGGACGGTGAGTCTATCCCGCTTAACCACAAGGCTTCTACTGGCTGATTTTGCGGCATCTTCGTTCTGTACGTTGCTTTGGGGTTGTTTACCATTTTTCTGCGAGCTGTAGCATGTGACTGTGGGGAAGATGATGAAGGCGTTTGGCGGTACGGGAAGCTTAACATCCACGATGTTAGTGGGCTCCCTGCATCCCAGTCTCACACCCGCAACTCCTTCCTCCCCTCCTCAGACCTCAGGCCTCAATCCTCAAACCAATACTACCGATCTCGCATACTATGCAAGCTAGCCAAGCTCACCGCGGCGAGCCTATCAATCGGCTGTCAGACTCTGGTATCAGACATGGCACAAACGCTGCAATGCCCGCCAGTCAGAGTCGTCGTGCGGAGCTTATCGATGTAGCACTCGATAATGCGAAGCCATTTTTCGAATTGGCGGAGAACATTCTGGAGCTCGCCCCGGTGCCGGGTCTACCTTACATAGCCAAGGGGTTGGTGGCCGTCGTCGACAGAGTCAGGGTATGTCGTTCACGATTACTCATTGAGAGGCATACCGCTGACACGGTATGGGACGATTCTGCCTACAGGATGCTCGAACAAACGACGACACGTTCCGCGCGTTTAACGAGGAAGTCATGGCGTTGGACGCGGTCATTAGAGAGATCTTGACGAAGACGCAGACGGCTGTAAAAGATTACGATGGAGACACCTTCGACAAGGAAAAACTACTGGATGGCATTGTGCGCTCTGAGGGGCTTCAAGTACGAACACAGGCGTTATTGAAGTACGTTTTCGATTATCTGAATCTTTACTGGCGCTGATGGCGGCGCAGCTCGATCGGTGAACTTCGGGAGTCTTCAGGGGACCTCAAGAGCGGGAGTGGTTTCCGCGGGTTTCTCAAAGGCGTCATTTATGCCTCTAGAAATGAGGCTACCCTGTCTAAAATGAGGGACGCCATGGCGAAGGCTGTCGCGATGTTCAAGGTCCGTGAAGCCTCGGCGTACCATCTAAATGTGACGTCAGTATATTCACAATGTCCTGTTAGCTCCGCGGACAAGTTTCCATAGAAATGGTGCTCAACGATGCTGTGAATGAGGCAAAGGTGGGTGGTATATCCACTCTAAACGTAACGAGCTCGGTCTCAACATCAGCGCATAAGATGCTTCGCAAGGCCTTCAGGGAGGAAGGTTAGGAAAAGATATTGCATTGCCATGGTTGTGTATGGCTCACTGTGCAGCCACCTTATCTAGAGGAACGGCGGGTTGTCGATTCTATTTTCCATGCCCCAGCGGGGTATCGCTCTGTGGATCAGCTCAAGAGCGAGTTCATGGATGGCACCCGGGAAGAACTCTTCGAAGAACTAGACCAATGGGCGGACGGCAGCTTTCCTGAGTACGATCCGAAGCCAGTTTACTTCCTCGGTGGAGCCGCTGGTGTGGGCAAGTCCTCCATTACTCACCAACTCTGTAAGCGCCTTGATGGTGCGGCGCGACGCCAATCCTGCCTAGGCGCGTCGTTCTTCTTCGTACGCGGTCGCCAAGGTCTCGATTCGACTCGTGCCTTCTTCTCCACCCTCGCACACCAGCTTGCACAATCCCAGCCCGCTCTCCGGCCTCATATCATTGCGGCTGCGCGGGAATATCTCAAACAAGGTGATCGGCAGCAGATGCAATACGCTTTCGAAGGACTCCTCCGAAAACCATTGACCAACACCACCACCATCGGGCAGAAGCCGGTCATTCTCGTGATCGACGGCCTGGACGAGTGTAGGGAACGAGACCTGCTACCCGATCTCCTGCGATTTATGCTTGACTTAGTTCGCTTGGTAACTTGGCTGCGATTGTTCGTCGCGTCACGACTGGAGCCGCATATCGTAGCAATACTCCGGTCCGCTGAGTTTCACTCCATTGTGCACTGCCGTAGCCTGGATGATACCCTCGAGGAGTGGAACGACGACGTCAAGCGCTACCTTGAATTCACGATACCCAAGATTCCCCCATACGATACCTTCGTCCGCGATAACCCCGACATTCTCGAACGCCTCATCCAGCGCGCGGCTGGCGTTTTCATCTATGCGCGCATTGTCGTAACATTTCTGGATACATATCGCGATCGTCCAGAAGAGCAATTCGAGCTCCTTCTAGCATCGGGAGGAGCAGGGCTCACGCCCTTGGATGCTCTTTACCTCCAGATCCTGCAATCAGCATTTCCACCGGATGATCTCCGCGCCAACGGTCGCCGCCAAGAACGCCTCCACTCGTTTTTGACCTTCATTGCGCTCCAATTGCAACCTATCGCTTCTGGTGCCATCGCATTACTTGGACTTGGACTATCCGAGAACGACGTCGTTGCGATGGTGGATCGCTTGCGCTCTATCCTGTTAATCGACCATTCTGGCTGCGTGGTGCCCCTACATGCCACTTTTGGCGAGTTTCTTCTTGACGACAAGCGTTGCAGCGATCCGCTGTACCACATAGGTCGATCCAAGGGACATGCTCGTCTTGCGTCTGGATGTCTGACTGTGTTAACTTCTCCCCGAACTTTATCAGGCTACTGGGAGACTGGACCGGGCAGTCACCTACGTAGCTGTGTTTATTACGCGAGGCGGGGTTGGGACGAGCACCTCCAAAATGCCGAGTTCAGCGACGGTTTGGCGGAGCAGGTGCAGGCCCTGATACAAGCGACACCTGCATATATGGGCGTCTACAGCTCCACATTCTTTCAAATAGGAGTCCCCGCGTCGATAGCACGATTTCTGAAGGTTAGCAAAGTGCGATTTTGAATCTGCTGAGACTTGCTGACTGTAGTATGTGGCAGCCACACATGGATATCGCGAAGGCAAACGAGATATGCGTCGAATACGCAAAGTTCGTCACCTACAGTCGGAAGTGGTGGACTCAGAAGCGCATGGATCCTAATGCTGTTCCGACAATCAGCCTAGATGATATCCATGAGGCTACAGAGCTCTGGATTGAGTCGGAGGTGGATCTCAACGTCCAGAGCGGTGACGTAGCGCGATACCAAGCTGCGCACGAAACGTTCGCGGGAGAAATCGCGAACGCAGGGCTGGCAGAGCTGTGGTACAAGGGCTCGGAATAGGAGTATGTATGCACGCCTGCCCGCGCAGACTTACCTTTTTCACGCCTCTGCTTATGTAATATGCCCTCTTTCTACTAATACAGCTCGCTCTCGCACATCTAGAATACAGCATGGTCCACACAGTTTGTTGGACTGCATGACCCAGTGTTCTCTGCCTAGCTAACAGAGTTCCAGACTAATTCTTATGGTGAGCAGGAACGGTATAACGTTACAATATGTGTATAGTAGTACTTGCATGCTTTCTTCCCCATGGACACTGCCATTGTTCCCTTCGTCCCTCCTAGGTAGAGCATACTTTCTTATCTAGGTTAGAGTCTTAAGACAGTATACACACGAGCTGATAACTAAAGAGAGATAGAACTTCAAGCTTCAACTGCAACATCCACATGCCAGTGCACTATCACAGTTACAACGTGTATATGAAGCTCATGGCAGTACCGACTGTCTAGCGCGCTGACTCGGACGCCCGTCGGAAAATGGTGACCGTCTGTAAACAGGATCGAGTCCTCGTGAGAAGTTCTATGAAAGTTTGCGCACGATGAGCCCCCACGCGAGGCACATGCGTGCTCTACGTACTTCTTGTTCCTCTAGCCCTCTACAACCACCTCTTTCGACTGAGCATGCCTTGGCGAACTCGTCGCAAAGAGATCGCGGACGTCGCACTGGATACTGCGGCACCCGTTCTTGAGTTCACGGAAAGTGCTCTCGAGCTTGTACCGATTCCAGGTTTGGCTCTAATAGCCAAAGGGTTGGGAATTATTGTCGATAGAGTCCAGGTGAGTGAAGTTTGGCGAGTGCAGTCCAGCGCGGCGAAATCTTGTACACTGATTGATGAACACCTCTTTTTACAGGATGCGAGAATGAACAACGACGCGCGGAACGCTTTCATCAGCAAGGCCAAAGCGTTAGATGTTACTCTCATGGAATTGGTGAAGAAGACAAGCACCGCAGTCGACAGCTCTGGCGGGGACGAACGGATCAAGAAGAGACTAGTCGATGGCGTCGCGCAATCTGAAGAGCTTCAGCTGCGACTGCAGACCTTGTCGAGGTGCGCACATGACTCGGCTCGTGTCGCGGTACACTGAATCCCTCTCATCGTTGAAATGACCACTATAGTACCATTGTCGAACTTCGTGAGCGTACGAAGGAGCTCAAAGGTGGAGATGGGGCTATAGGCTTCCTGAAGGGCTTTCTGTTCGCATCGCGGAACGAAGCTATCCTCTCGGATATGAAGGACGAAATGGCGAATGCTGTTGAAATGTTCAAGGTGTGTGCGGTCGCCAAGGATCTGTAGCTCGCAGAGTGAATTCATGCATATCCCTCCAGCTCCGTGGCCAAATTTCCATCGAAAATGTGCTCAGCGATATTGTGCACGATGCTAAGGTGCGTGCCATACCGTCCTGAGAGGACCTCGCTCCTCATGACAAGTCATGCAGGAGATACGACATGCACTCAAGGAGTCGGGTAAGCATACTTTCATGCAATATCATCGCAAATATTCAAGACTGACCGATTGCCCGTGGCTCCTGAAGAGGAACAGAAGGTTATCGACTCCATCTCTTGGGCACCTGCAGGGTACCGATCTGTAGACGAGCTCAAAAGCGAATTCATGGAGGGAACTAGGGAAGAGCTCTTCGACGAACTGGACGCGTGGTCCAACGGCCGATTCCCTCAAGACGACCCAAGGCGGTTCTATGCTCTCACTGGAGGTGCCGGTCTGGGGAAGTCTTCCATTGCCCATCAGTTCTGCACACGTCTCGACAAGCCAGGACAGCCTACCTTAGGCGCATCGTTCTTCTTTGTGAGGGGCAGCGGAGATCTCGAGTCGACTCGGCTATTCTTCTCCACTCTTGCGCACCAACTTGCGCTATCCCAGCCTACACTCCGACCTCACATTGTCGACGCCGCGCGAGAGTATCACAAGCATGGAGACCGCCAGCAAATGCAACACGCATTCGAGGAGTTGCTCCGAGATCCGCTCGCCCGCGCCCCCATTCCCGGCGAGACACCAGTCATCCTTGTCATTGACGGACTGGACGAGTGCAAGGAGCGCGATCTGATGCGCAGCATGCTCGGATTCGTACTCGAGCTTACTCGCACGTTACCCTGGCTGCAAGTGTTTGCCACTTCGCGGCCTGAGCCTCACGTCATGTCCGTACTCACATCTCCGGAGGTGGCCCGTATTGTGCATCACCGGAGCCTGAACGACACCCTTGAGGAGTGGGAAGGTGACGTCAGACACTATCTTGAAGCTACGGTACCCAAGATCCTCCAGTACGGTGCTTTCATCCGCGACAACCCCGACGTTCTCGAACGCCTTATTATACGCACGGGTGGTGTATTCATCTATGCACACGTTGCCGCCCGGTTCCTGGACTCATATCACGATCGTCCAGAAGAGCAATTCGAGCTACTTCTTGCATCAGGAGGAGCAGGGCTCTCGCCTCTGGATTCCCTTTACCTGCAGGTTCTGCGCTCCGCGTTCCCCCCAGAAGACCTTCGCGTGTCTAATCCCCGTCAAGAACGTTCGCGCTCGCTCTTGACCTCCATCGTGCTCCAGACACATCCCCTTGCTCCCGGCGTCATTGCATTACTTGGGCATGAATTATCCGAGAACGACGTCGTTGCAATGGTAGACCGCCTGCGCTCTATCCTGTTGATCGACCAAGATGGTCTTGTGCGGCCACTGCATGCCACGTTTGGCGAGTTTCTCCTTGACGACAAACGTTGCAGCGACCCGCTGTATCATGTGGACCGATCCAAGGGACATGCTCGTCTCGCGTCTGCGTGCCTGACGGCGTTAACTTCGTTCCGCACGCTCTTAGGCTGCCTGGAGGCTGGGTTGGACAGTCACTTGAGCAGCTACGTTTATTACGCGAGAGGAAATTGGGATTATCACCTCGGGATTGCCGAGTTCAGTGACAGCTTGGCCCAGCAGGTGTGCGCCATGGTCCCAATGATCCCTGCATATATCGGAGTCTACACCAGCAATTTCGGTGAGTCGGGGGTTACCGCGAGTATGGCGCAGTTCCTTGAGGTTGGCAACACAGTCTAGCAGTTATGTTGCAGCTTGCTGATTATGGCGTGCGGCAGCCCCACATGGGTATCGCGAAGGCAAACGAGATATGCGTCGAATACGCAAAGTCTGTTGCCTACAGCCGGCAGTGGTGGACTCAGAAACGGGAGCGCCCTGATACCAGTCCGGTGGTCGAACCAATTGATGTCTCGGAGACCATGGAGGTGCATTGGGAGCCCACGGATGACTCGGGAGTGGACCTCAGCATTCAGAGCGGCGACATAGCGCGATACCAGGCCATGCACGAGAAATTCGCAAGAGAGATCGAGGATGCAGGGCTGGCAAAGCTGTGGTACGAGCAAGAGTATCCGGACCCCATTGTAGACTTCTGATTATCATATATGTGGTGGTTTCCGAGTCTTAGCAACATCGGCGAAGAAGTAGGCTCAAAGAGTCGCAATGGCCGCGATGGATCGCACCTCGAGCGTTCTAACCGCGACATAAAGCGACGCGATCCTGACCGATACTTTGCGATATATCTGCGGTGGGGTGCGATCTAAAGTTTTATATCGCCACCCTTCCGTTTATTTTTTTGCTGATAGGCTCCGGTCGTGGGTACTAGCTGTGGGCGTCCTAGGATGGCTGGATCAGACTGGCTCCGGCGGAGCTTCGCCGGCGCCACCGTGAGGTTGATTCTCTAGTCATGCGGTATTGACCCGCCCGCCCCCAGCCAGTGACCTCTCTTGCACGATGGAGTTGAATGCACAATTCTCGACCGCGATCGCTGGCAAGCACGACCTGAGAACTTCTGTTGTTCGACGATCTGCAACAGAGGGGCGACCCAGAGGTGCAGCCCAAGATGACGACAGGTTACTACCGCAGCATCACAGGCGGGCAGTGCTTCGTCGCAAAGTTTAAGTCAGGCGTTCTTGGCCATGGCGCTTTGGAACTGAACAATGAAAGATGTGCGCGGTATTTCATGGCAGCGTGTTCGGGGACGCGCAGCCTTCCACTCTGATTTCCCCCCCCCACTCTGCTATAGATGTTGGCCCGTCTCGCGAATGCGTTCCGGTGGACGGGCTCGAGCTACGAGCTCTTGCCGAGCTCTGGCCACGGCAAGGCCCGCGCACAACACCTCCTGCGCCGGCGGGTGTGGCGGCGGTGCGCCATCACGACGCTCTTCGTCACCGTTCTCCTCACAGCTCCGTTCGTGTTCTTCCCAAAGTACACCCGGATCTGGCTTCCGATGATTTTTGGGCCGAAGCCGCTGCCGCCGCTGTACCCAGAGTTCAAGAAAGCGGAGCTCGCGCTGCCCCAGCACCATGTCAAGGATCCCTTCGCCGGCAGGCAGAAGTACCTCTGGGTTGCTAGCCACGTATCTTGTGAGTGTCGCCCTGGCGCATATATACAAGCGGCTGCTTAGTCTTGGCGTACAGGGTCGGGATGGGGCAACTATATGCAGGATATGATTATGATAGCACACCTGACCTACCGGTCTGGACGAACGTACATATATTATATACTTTCTACAGCCTGATACAGACTGACAGCATCCCTCTAGACATGTCTTTGACGATTATACCTGGAACAAACACGGCCCCTCATACTCTATGTTCGACGATAAACGATGGATGCCCTCACGTATACCACTATCTGCTTTCATATCCGGTTTGTGACGTCTCTGCTCAACGATTTAGCTTGTCGGCTCACTCTCAGTACAAGGCCCTATCGTAGGGGGTCCCTTCGCCGACGACGATACTACTCCTCGGGCCATTGCTAAGGCTCGCTGGGAGAAGATCTGCCCTAATCCCACCAAAATTAACGTCAAGGAGATCCGTGCGATGCATGGTCCAGGAGCAAACGCCGCCAAGATTGAGGAGGCATGGCTTGAGTACCTCAGCAAGATCGACGATCCATGTGTCGAAGTCCCTGAGAAGTCGGAGAGCATCTTCCACGTCTTGTAAGCGTCTATTTACATTCGTTGTTCTAGGTAGCGACTCAGTTTGCGTAGCATGTTTGGAAACAAGGACGAAATGCTGCCTATCTGGCCGTCGCTCTCAGCATCACCCATCCTTACGCTGTTCGGCTGGTCGACGTTAGCCCACCAGGGCTTCGAAGCCAACCGACACCTCTTTTCGCCAGTTACGTTGCACCAGCCGTCCATCTCCGACCCTGCATGCCCACACTGCGCCGATCCCTACACCTCGCTCGATGGTTTACTTGCGCTCCACTTGCGTCGAGGCGATTTTGTCCAGCATTGCCCGGATCTGTGCCACTGGGGCGCAAACTTCAACGCCTTCAATCGCTTCCCCGAGCTCCCCGACCAGTGGGTCAAACCGGACGGCCCCACTGAGGAGAGCGTGCCTGTCTATATGCGGCGGTGTCTGCCGACGATCGAGCAGATCATCGAGAAGGTCGAGGAAGTGCGCGCGAGTGCAGCCGGGCACGGGCTCAGGAACGTCTACGTCATGACGAACGGCGACCACGAGTGGCTCACGGACCTGAAGGCCGCGCTCCGGCGGGCGCACGCGTGGGAGCATGTCGCGACGAGCCGCGACATGGTGCTCACGCCTGAGGAGAAGCACGTCTCGCAGGCGATAGACATGCTCATCGGGGAGCGTGCGCAGGTGTTCGTGGGCAACGGCGTGCGTCCTCATCTATCCCATCTATCTGTTCGCGCTTAGAGCTGACGTGTCCGGTCGTGGGCAGTTCTCAAGCATGACATCGAACATCGCGATGCTGCGCGTGGTCCGGAGACTCGCTCCAGACACGACCAGGATGTGGTAGGCTCGATTGGGGGCACGGCCGTCGGACCCCATGTTGCCACATTAGTAAGGCGCGTGCTGTGTACATATGGCCCGACAGAGCCAGTTCACGACGTGGACGTGTGCCAAATCGCGACGACAAGCAGCCGCTCATCGCAAGGAAGATGGATCCCGTGAACAGAAAGTGCGGGCCAGTCCGCGGATCCCGGTTGCGAACAGGCATGCCACCATCCCGACTTGCCTAGAGGCTCACTGGGTTTTGCGACTTGGTCAGCGATCAATATTGACGTGTATGTCCACGCCTGGTCGCCACTGTATAGGTCGTTTGTGAAGGCTCCTTGTTGCGGTGCTGTATGGTTGTCTGGACTTTGCAGGAGGTCAGCGGAAGCTGAACGTTTTGGCCCATGGACCGATGAGTACAAATTGATGTGAGTTCGGACTTCGAACTTTGAGGTTTGTCTGTCAGCTCAGCATCAAACCTTATAACCTATGTTGTCGGGTCCGCCCTCCTGGTACACCTTCCGACAACTGCGTCCTTCATAGTGGGATGCCAGAGTTCAATATTGGGTTATAATAGCTATTATGGAGAGGACAGGTTCTCAGGGTTGTGGATTAATCTAACTTGGAAGCATTCGTATCGCCAAAGGGCCGGCGCTTCACTTTATTAGGTTTACTATGTCGCCACATCAAGGCCTGATAGAAATACCTTGGCGTCACATTCGTACAGAAGTGCGGAATTGGTGTGTTGGAAAATCGCCTAGGACGTTACTGTAAAGTTGCTAATATTGGATACAGATATTGACCTTCCCCGCGACTTCTCAGCTCTTGGTTAGCAGGATGGTGGTAGAGGGCTAAAGGAAAAAGAAGTACGTAGAGCATTCATGTGCCTCATGTAGGGTTCATTGTGCGCGAACTTCCATGGAACTTGCCACCAGGACTCATAGCATTCCTTCGACTCCGCGCCGAGTCTAGAGAAGATTCGAGTTCATAAGACTCTGCATCGCTTAGCTCGAGATGTACCAACGCTCGTACATCTCATTATCTGCAAACGCATTGAGTGTGTGAGCACATTATGACGAACCGTCAAAGGACATACTGGCCGTCAATCATGAGTTTGATGCGTGGTGGAGCGGCGACGTTGAGCACGAAGGGCGCGCGGTGTTCACTATCTTATATTCGACAACCGGAAATCTGGCCGATGATCTACTATGTAGTAGTCTGGATCCCGCTCCTTGTACCACAATTTCGTTAGCCCCGCATTCTCGATCTCTCGCGCGAGTTTCCGAGTCTTATGTGCAGACATGTTTAGGCGCCGGGGGGGGGGGGGGGGGGGGGGGGGGGGGGGGTAGTGGAGGGCTCGAGTGAAAAGAAGCACGTAGAGCACGTATGTGCTTCGTGTGAAAGGCTGGGCCGGCTCCGCGAACTCGATTCGACGTTGACGACGCATGTCTCGTCGCGAAGAGATCGCGGACGTCGCACTGGATAATGCGGCACCTGTTCTTGAGTTCACGGAAAGTGCTCTCGAGCTGGTACCGATTTCGGGTTTGGCGCTGATAGCCAAAGGGTCGAAGATTATTGTCGATAGAGTCAAGGTGGGTGAAGTTAGGCGAGATGCAATCCAGATAAATTTTGTGTATTGATTGCTGGATGCTCCCTTTCATAGGATGTGAGAGCGAATAACGACGCACGGGACGCTTACATCAGCAAGGCCAAAGCGTTAGATGCTGCCTTAATGGAGATAGTGAAGAAGGCGAGCACCGCAGTTAACAGCTCTTGCGGGGACGAGCGGGTCAAGAAAACACTGGTCGATGGTATCGCGCAATCTGAAGAGCTTCAGCTGCGATTGCAGACCTTGTCGAGGTGCGCACATTACTCGGCTCGTACCACAGCACATTGAGCCCATCTCAACTTTCAAACGACCACCGCAGCACCATTGTCAAGCTTCGTGAGCGTACAAAAGAACTCAAAGGTGGAGATGGGGTTATAGGCTTCCTGAAGGGCTCCCTGTTTGCATCGCGAAACGAAGCTATCCTATCGGACATGAAGGATGCGATGACAGATGCTGTTCAGATGTTCAAGGTATACACAGTCGCGGAGGATACAGCAGCTCGCTGAATGAATTCACGTGTGGTATCCATTCAGCTCCGTGGCCAAATTTCCATCGAAAATGTGCTCAGCGATATCGTGCACTATGCTAAGGTGCGTGCCGTACTATCCTGAGGAGATTTTTCACTCCTCATGCCTTAGCATGCAGGAGATACGACATGCACTCAAGGAGTCAGGTAAGCATTACACTTAGCATGCATTATCATCGCAAATACTCAAGGCTGACCGATTGTGCATTGTTCCTGAAGAGGAACAGAAGGTTATCGACTCTATCTCTTGGGCCCCCGCAGGGTACCGATCTGTAGACGAGCTCAATAGTGAGTTCATGGACGGGACTCGGGAGGAACTCTTCGATGAGCTGGACGCGTGGTCCAACGGCCGATTCCCTCAAGACGACCCAAGGCGGTTCTATGTTCTCACTGGAGGCGCCGTCCTGGGGAAGTCTTCCATCGCCCACCAGTTCTGCACACGTCTTGTCGTAGTTTGCGTTTGGCGCACCCGACAACCGAGAGGCTCACGCCTTGTCATTTGAGGCTTTGTGGTGTGTGCTTTGGCGCCACCCCCTTTGTCCGCGGCGCAGTGGCACACGTCTCTCGCTCTGTATTGTTTAGGTCTCGTAGCTTTGTTCTCCTAATGTATATATGCACGTCATTCGCCTCGTACAATTAATTATCTCATTCCACACTTTCTCTCGTGTGCTTGATTCCTCTACAAGACGTCTCGACAAACTGGGACGGCTTGCTTTAGGTGCATCGTTCTTCTTTGTGAGGAGCAGCGGAGATCTCTAGTCGACTTGCCTGTTCTTCTCCACTCTTGCGCACCAACTTGCGCTATCCCAGCCTAAACTCTGGCCATGCGTTGTCGACGCCGCGCGAGAGTATCGCAAACATGGAGACCGCCAGCAAATGCAACACACGTTCGAAGAATTACTCCGAGATCCACTCGCCCGCGCCTCCATACCCAGCGAGACACCGGTCATCCTTGTCATTGACGGGCTAGACGAATGCAAGGAGCGCGATCTGATGCGCAATTTGCTCAGATTTGTGCTCGAGCTTACTCGCACGTTGCCCTAGGTGCAGGTGTTCGCCACATCGCGGCCTGAGCCTCACGTCATGTCCGTACTCACATCTCTGGAAGTAGCACACATCGTGCATCATCAGAGCCTGAATGACACTCTCGAGGAATAGGAAGGCGATGTCAGGTACTATCTTGAAGACACGATACCCAGGATCCCCCAGTACGGTGCTTTCATCCGCGACAACCCCGACGTTCTCGAACGCCTTATTATACGTGCGGGTGGCGTATTCATCTATGCGCACATTGCCGTCCGGTTCTTGGACTCGTACCGTGATCATCCGGAAGAGCAATTCGAGCTACTTCTGACAGCAGGAGGAGCAGGACTCTCGCCTCTGGATGCTCTTTACCTCCAAGTCTTGCGCTCCGCGTTCCCCCCAGAAGACCTTCGCGCGTCCAATCCTCGTCAAGAACGTCTGCGCTCGCTCTTGACCTCCATCGTGCTCCAGAGATATCCTTTAGCTTCTGGTGCCATGGCGTTACTTGGGCATGAACTGTCCGAGAACGACGTTGTTGCGATGGTGGACCGTCTGCGCTCTGTTCTGTTAATCGACCATTATGGTCGCGTGGTCCCTCTACATGCCACGTTTGGTGAGTTTCTTCTTGACGACAGGCGTTGCAACGATCCTCTCTATCACGTGGACTGGTCCAAGGGAAATGGTCGTCTCGCGTCTGGATGCCTGACCACTTTAGTGTCGTTCAGGACTTTATCGGGCTGCTTGGAGGCTGGGCCGGACAGTCACGTGGGTCGTTATGTTCTTTATGCGACAGGCTGCTGGGACAATCACCTCGAGGTTGCCGAGTTCAGCGGCGGTTTGGCAAAGCAGTTATGCGCCATGATACAAATGATCCCTACAAACATCGGAGTCTACACCAACAGATACAGTGAGTCGGGAGTCACCCAAAAAATGGCGCAATTCCTTGAGGTCAGCCACGCGGTGTAGTAATTCTACTGCAGCTTGCTGATCATGGCGTGCGGCAGCCCCACATGGGTATCGCGAAGGCGAACGAGATATGCCTCGAATACGCAAAGTCCGTCGCTTACAGCCGGCAGTGGTGGACTCAGAAACGGGAGCGTCCTGATACCATTCCGACGGTCAGCCCAGATGACGTTCGTGCGATCATGAAGGTGCATTGGAAGCCTACGGATGACTCGGGAGTGGATCTCAGCATTCAGAGTGGCGACATAGAGCGTTACCAGGCTGCACATGAGGCACTCGCGAGAGAGATCGAGGATGCAGGGCTGGCGGAGCTTTGGTACAAGAATGACGAGCGTCGAGTAAATTATCGCCCGGACTTCTGATTATCGCGTAGCATGCAGTCGTGTCGAGTTAAGCATTTCATTGGCTGCTACATCAGGCGCTTCACCGGTCGTTAATTAACGCTGATTCCTTAGTCATGCGGTGCCGGCCCGTCCGTTCCCAGGCTGCCACACCACATTCAAAATCTAGTTAAAAATTTCTTATAAAAATAATAACAAAGTGGTTTATTATTTTATTTATAAGTAAACTAAAGAATTTGTCTACTTGTTTATTTTTATTAAATTAGATCAAATATAACTTTCAGGCCAGTCTGCAGCTTCTCTTGCACGACAGAGTCGAATGCACGATTCTCGGCCGTGATCGCTGACAAGCACGGCTTCAAAAAGTCTGTTCTCCGACAACGTTAACAGGACTGTAAGACGCAGCTCGAGATGACGGCAGACCACCAGCTTAGCATCTCAATAAGCGGGCAGCGCTCGTCGAGATGTTAGCTAGTTCAATGGCGGCTAGTCTAGGCCATGACGCCCTGGAACTGCGAAAATGGGAGATGTGCGCGGTATTTCATGGCTGCATGCCGGGACGCACAGCCCTCCACTCTGATCTCCCCTTCCCCAGTCCGCCCCTCCATCGAATGTTGGCCCGTCTCGCGAACGCGTTCCGGCGGACAGACTCGAACCTTTACGAGCTCCTGCCGACCACGGAGCGTGCCGGCGCCTCTGGCCACGTCAAGGCCCGCGTACAGTACTACCTGCGCTGGCGGGTGTGGCGGCGGTGCGTCATCGCGACGCTCTTCGTCGTCGTTCTCGTGGCCGCCATCGCGCTCGCAGCTCTGTTCGTGTTCGTCCCGAAGCGCTCGTGGATCTGGCGGACGAGGGTGCTGGCGGTGCTCTTCGGGCCGAAGCCGCTGCCGCCGCTGTACCCCGAGTTCAGGAAGGCGGAGCTCGCGTTGCCCCAGCACCATGTCAAGGATCCGTTTGCCGACGGGCAGAAGTACCTCTGGGTTGCTAGCCATACTTCTTGTGAGCGTCGCCTTTTGCAGGTGTATACGAGCGACCGCTGAACTTTGGCGTACAGGGTCGGGATGGGGCAACTTTATGCAGGACATGGTTATGACGGCACACCTGACCCACCGGTCTGGACGAACGTGCATATATTATATATTCCTCTGCAGCCTGACCTAGACTGATAACATTCCTCTAGATATGTCTTTGACGATTATACCTGGGATAAACACGGTCCTCCCTACTCTATGTTTGACGACAAACGATGGATACCCTCGCGTATACCACTATCTGCTGTGATATCCGGTTGGTCTCTCTCCGCCTAATGGGTTAGCTCGTCGACTCACCCTCAGTACTAGGTCCTATCGTAGGGGGACCCTTTGCTGACGACGATACTACCCCGCGAGCCATTGCTAAAGCTCACTGGGAGAAGATCTGCCCTAATCCCATCAAAATCAACGGCGAGGAGGTCCGTGCAATACATGGTTCAGGAGCAGACGCCACCAGGATTGAGGAGGCATGGCTCGAGTACCTCAGCAAGATTGATGATCCATGTGTCGAAGTCCCCGAGAGCTCGGGGAGCATCTTTCACATCTTGTAAGCGTCTCTGTTCGTCCCTGGTCTCGAACGATGATTCAACTAGCGCAGC